TCCTTTGGATTGGTGGGAATTCTCCAGCCAGAAGTAAAGACACTGAGTTTGTTGCCTGTTCTTATATTGCCCTTCTTTTTGGTGCTCACTGGAAGGGGTCAATTTGTTTGTAATTCTCTGTTGTAATGTTGATCAACTTCATGAAGCCCAAACCTGACTACTTATGACACTGGATTCCAAAAGAAAACAAGCATTACATGGATTCCCAGTCACCTGGGATAATTCAATTTGAACAGAGAGCAGGATATAAACTAAAAAATTCCAGACTGCTGCAGCTGCGTGCTGGGGTGCAATATAGCATTACAGAACAGTAAAAGGACTGTGACACAAGACAGAGAAATAAAGATAATATCCAACAGGGCAGGAAGAATCCTGTAAGACACAAATTCAAGGAGTAATACCTGCCCCAGGTTTGGCCCCTGTCATTAAGTAAAGGGGGAAAAGAACGACCTCATCCCTATGAGAATGCAGTTTGCGCACAATAAATGCTCCTCCTGGTAGTATTTTGAGCTAACGAGCACAGCTTTAACATCTCATTCTACATTACCAAGCTGACCCCATTTAAAAATTAAATAAAAGTAAAAAAACTGCCCAATAAAAACCCCTTATATATGCAATCCAGCTGGCAAATGGAATTTTGCTGCCCCCACCTCAGTTAATTCACGAGAATGAATGCTGTAGGAAACAGCAGCTCGACGTGCCGTGTTCTTGATCAGTAGCTACTTAAAGCTTACTTACACTGAACTTAAAAAGCTTAAAAATCCATGGGCAGACCGCACAGAAAAGAAAAATGTGGAGAGAGCAGCCAGGGACGGCCTGGCAAGCCTGAGATAAGTAGGGGCGCTCCTTATGGGGAGGGGAAAAGAGAGGACAGGCTTGTTCTTGCTGAGATAAGCGATACAAAAGCAGGTTTCCCCGCAGACCAGGCGCCGCCGCTCCCTCAGCGCTGGGGGCTCCCTCCCGGCTCCGTCCCCGTCCCTCAGGGCCTGTCACAGCGGGCACGGCGCGAGGCCGCGGGAACGGGCGGCGGCGGCCGCGAGGAAGGCGGCAGCCTCCGGGTCACCGCCCACCGCGCCCCGGGAGCTCAGCCCGGTTCGTCCCCCCCTCACCGCCCCGCAGCCCCTCACCTGCCCCGCGCAGCCCCGGTGTTGTGGCCGCGGGTGAGCCCCGGCCGCCGCTTCCTGCGCGGCCCTTTCCGCCTCCGCCTCGCCCCGCTCCCACCGCCCCTTCCGGGGGCCGCGACACCCGCCCCGCCGCCATCTTGAGCGTGGCAGCGCGGGCCGTGCCCCCACCGCCATCTTGGGGGTGGTGCCGCCCCGGCGCGTCCCGCTCGGCGCTGTCGTGTCGGTGGTGGCTGAGCACTGAGGGCGGTGAACGCCCGCTGGGGCTCCGGGACGCGGGCTGGGCGCCCTGAGAGGAACTAATGAAACCCACTAAAGAGCTTGGTGGGGAGCTGTGGCACGGCAGCAGGAGCGCCCGCGCGTGGCGGCGTGCCCTTGGCGTGCTGTGGGTTAAAGCAGTTTGTAGGCTGAGGTCGCTCAGCACACGCAGAGAAAGGAATGTAATTTATAAAAATAATATTCCAAGCCACTGCTGTAGAATCATAGTATGTCCTGAGTTTGGAGGGACCCACAAGAGTCACAGGTGATCGAGCTCTGAGCGACCTGGTCTAGTGGGAGGTGTCCCTTCCTATGACAAGGGTAGAATGGCATGGGCTTTAATGTCCCTTCCAACCCAAACCGTTCTGGAATTCTGTGATCATCCAAGTCCAACTCCTGGTCCTGCAGAGGACACACCAACAATCCCACCATGTCGCTGAGAGCCTTGTCCAAACACTCCTTGAGCTCTGTCAACCTTGGGCTGTGACCACTGCCCTGGGGAGCCTGTTCAGTGCCCAACCACCCTCTGGGGGAAGAACCTTTTCCTAGTATCCAACCTAACCCTTCCCTGACACAGCTCCAGCCATTCCCTGGGGTCCTGTCACTGGTCACACAGAGCAGAGATTGGAGCTGCCCCTCGTGAGGAAGCTGCAGAGCCCAGTGAGGTCTGACCTCAGCGTCCTCCCAGAACAAGCCAAGTGCCCTCAGCTGCTTCTTGAGTGCCCCTCCAGACCCTTCGCCATCCTCCTGTCTCTCCTTTGGACACTCTCTAATAACTTTATAAGTGATACATTACCTGAAGAGGCTTTAACCTGCCCCAAGAGCTCTGAGAGTTGCCTTTGCCACGGTGTATTGAGCATTATATGGGTCTATTATTTAGGCCATTTATCTTCTGCTAAACAAAGAGGAAATTTTGCTACTTTCATGATTTTTTGCAAGGAAATTCATAATATTTGAAACTGAAGAAAGAGGAAAACAGTGGCCAAAAATCAATTTGTTAAATTTGTTCAGGTATGAGTCCAAAAGACCAAAAGTCATTAGGTGCATTAGCACAAGTAAGGAAGGTGTCATGATTTAACCCCAGCCAAATTTATTATAGCACTGACATATTTTTTTTTTTTTTAGGAACTCACCTATCTGATTTTCAGGCCTATGTTTCATTCCTTGTCTTAGAAAGGAAAACAAAAAAAATTTAAAACCTTACTATGAAAACTCTGTCCTCCACATATAAATGCATCAGGTATATACATCACATATACAGATATATCAATGATATCAGTACCTTTTTGATGCAAAGTTTTGAAAACTCTAATCCTCCATGAGTGCAAGATCTTTTCTATTTTCCATTCAACACCAATATCTGCTCCCTTTATTTTATTTTCTAGCAAGCAGGACCCAAGCTTGTTTCACCAGCTCACTCAAGCTACGTACAGTTTTCCTTCCCCTTATTTCCATGTCATTGCTCCATCACACAAACTCGACTGTCCAGATTGTCCAGCCACTTCATCATTTACTTCAGCTGTCATTTGCAGCAATTTGCAAATGGTGTTCTTTGTGCTGGTATGCGGCAGAAGCTGCTTTTCATTATCTGCAGCTATGGGCCGGCAGGAGCTCATAAAAAGCACTCAGTGTGGGAAAGTCTTGATCTCCAGCTGCTCTTGTCTCAGATAAATCACGTCAGAAATTATCAAAAACAAATTAGAGTCCCAGTAGTGTAGTTTAGACCTCTGACTTACAGCTTCTTGAATCATTCTGGAGGATGTGCATAGGAAATTTTGCATCTTAGGTTTGGCCCAGAAGCACAATCAGTTAAATATCTCAGCATACTAAAGCAGAGAGTGTGAATATCCACTTAGGCTCTGACTAGCTGAGCTAGAGGGCAGAAAGTATTCACAAATTGTCTGCTGGATTTTCTGACATCATGAGGAAAGCCCAGAGTTTGCCTTTGTTTTCTCAATTTGATCTTTCTTTTCTTATTTTTATCTTTTTTTCAGTCAAGATGACCTGTTGTGAGAACCTCTTTAGGTAGCCTGTCCAGAGCCACAAGCCTCTGAGCTATGAGAAACTTTTACAGTATTACCTTTCTCATTGCATTCCTGCTGCCTAATTGCTGGGACCTGGTTTCCATATAAACAGAATTCATGATAGGGATGGCTTTATTCTGTGTTCAGCAGTTCCAAAATTTTCCTTCTGTGTAAGGCCAGTGAAGTCAGTCGTTCATCAGTTTTAATTCTGGGAAAATGGATTCCCATGACCAACTATTCAAATGTAAAAGACACAAACTGGCTTAATAATGAAGAAAATAAGGATGTAAGGCAGAACAGAAATTTCTTTAGGTCTAAAAGCCACCAACTTATCAGAAGTGAAAGGAATCATTAATGATCACATTTAAATGACAGGATTTAACAGAGATACTGCTCTGAAGTTTATACAATCTTACAGTGTACCGGATTTGATTAATTTAAAGGAAAAAAAGAGGCAGATTGAAGGGTAAATTTCAGTAACATGAGGCCATCTAGTGGAATACAACTTTTGTCTTGCAGACTTGATTTTTTTACCTCTGGACTTAGTCCCTGCTCCACAATAGTTTTCTATAACTTGGGAAATACTTGTTACTAAAGGACGCAATAAACTTATTCTCTAGGAAGTTCACCATGGACAAAAGCAAAAGAGTTAATGTTTATTTTAATAAACATGCTAAACAACATAAATGAATCAGAATTGCACAAAGGTAAAGGAAAAATAAGCATTTAAAATTTAGCTACAAAACTGGAAGAGTCAAAGCACTACCTAAAAAAGCTGAAACCTTTGGAAAAAGGTATCTGCTAAAATTTCTGGATAAATGGAAGAAAACACTTTATCAACAAGGGGAAGAGAGGCCATGCCTGCACTGACTTGTGTCCACTCAGATTGAGTGGCATCGTCAGAAGATTTGAACTTTAACTTTGTAGACCAATGTATAATGAAGGGCTCATGTAAAATCAACTTTCCTGCTACAGGAACAGGAATGCTCCTGAGAATACCAAGGAAGTGCTTTTCAGGGAGGACAGAAGTGTCAATCCCAGCACTTTGGAGTGGAGCAAAGCAGCAAATGAGAGAACACAGGTGAAAAACGGACTTTATGCTTTGTTAGCCACCATCAGCACAGACAGGATGAATGAAATCCAATTAAGAGACTGTGGTAGGGCAGTGTGAAGCTGTTCTCAGCACTCCTCTGTCATGCAGAGCTCCTTCAGCAGACCCCTGCTTGCTTCACACGTAAGGCACCTCTACTTCTCCTGTAAAGGAAGGGAAGAACATCAGTATTGCAGATGGAAAGCTCAACATCATGCACTGAAACCTCTCCAAAGCCCTTTGCTAAGAACTTGCTAACAGAGAAGACACCATAAACATTTGTAGCAGATGTGAGGGCATTGATCCTTTGAAAATTATATATTTTATCCATAAATAGCAAGGTATTTCCAGAACCACTTTTGAATTATATGACTCAAGCTAGGTCCAGGTACCATGTTCAGCCTGTGTTGCTCATTGGACTCTTCTCCTTACTGTCCAACTTCTACAGTTTCTGCTACAACAGGAATTTGCTCACACAGATATCAAAGTCATTTGTTTAAACCAGTTGGACCTTATAGGCAGGAGAGGCAATTAATCTGTAAAGATTAAGCAAAGGAACAGAGAATTAGCGACCCTGAAAAAAAAATGATAGCACTTAGGTGGAATGGAAATCCCAGATAATTCAGCTAACATCAGATTTTGGCTAATTCAGGAGTAATTAGGTAGAGTTGTACTTACAGGACTGCTTTGCAGAAAGAACATTTGTTGTTATACGTTTTTCCATCAGAGCCGCAGAAGGGTTGATAGAGCCTTTCGCAGTAAATGGGTTTTCCTCTCTCTAACCTCCTGTATTCACTGCAGTCCACCTGCAAATAGAGTGTCATTTTTCTTTGAATCCATCTTTCTCACATTTTCCATTCACCTACAGAAATAATGAATATATGACATTTTTGGACGCACTTGTCAGCTGCTCTAGAGCAGCACAGTCAATGAGGCTTCGCCATTTGTATTAGCTGAGCCTAAGCCTCAAAATAGAAATGTTCCTTATCACAGAGATGTGTGTGATGATGCCTGTGATACACACTGAGCACCTTTAAGGACTGTGCTCTCCATCTGAATAGCATTACAGTCACTGGAAAAAATATAGTTACAGAAAAGTTGAGTATTAGTACTTTTTTCCAGCTGATTGCAATGGTCAGTAAATTCAGGTGAGATTACTTCTTGAGGCTTTCTTTATTGCACAATATCAGCTCTTGATGCTTTTTACACTGGGGTAAAGTTCTGCCCAGGTGAAATTAAAGTCCTGTTTAAGTATTGGCTTGAAAAGGAGTTGTTGGAGGCCTCATCTGATAGCGGGACTGTATTCATTACAGACTTAGACATGAGAATGGGACTACAAATGTCCAGTCGTTTCTTGAACACCTCCTGGGATGGTGATCCCAGGGCACCCCCTTCCAATGTTTGACATCCCTTTCCATGAAGAAAATCCTCCTGAGTTGTGCTAATATGGACCCAGCTCTGTGTGTGGGTGATTTTTCATTCCCCACTGTTCATCCCTGGATTCTGAAAGGTCTTATCCCTTTTATTTCTTGGTGTCTCATTTCTTTCAGAGGTTGACCCCAGGATGACTCCAGCATAACCAGAGAGAAATTAAAACCTCCAAGTGCCGGACTTAGGACCTGAAAGTCATTAAGAAAGACTTACACTGTCATAATGAGATAAATATTTTTAAAAATCTAGATTTCTCTGACTTAAAATTTGTCCTTGCCCAATTTCTTGCCCAGAATACATAACAGGTAAAAGCATCTGGAATTTGTCAGGGCAACTGTATGAAAACCACATATCTCAGAGTTGAGGATTTCTCACTGAAATCTCAATACATGGCTAGCAATTAAAGTTTAGCATGTTTGGTTTTTTCCTGACCTCATGTTGTTAGAAACTATATAGTTTTATCCAGAAATAAAGAAAATTACTCACTTCGTTCTCTTTGTCAGCATCTGCAATAAAACAGAATCACAAAGGATAAAATAAAAACCACAGTTAATGAACACTCAGTTTCAAATCAGGATGGTTTCATTAGTCTCAGCCCTTCCAGCAACACCAAGTCTTTTAACTCCTTGAAATAAATACTGACAGAGCTTTTCAGTGTTTAATAAGACACAGGTGTCAGAACCTATTAAACAAGTGGACATTATTCTAGTATTTACCTCAGAAACCTCTGTCAGCTGCTAGGACAGCCTCTGTTGTAGAAGCAACTGGAGCTATTGTTCCCCCTTTCACCACAAAAAGATTGAAGCCCCAGAAGTCAATATTATATTCAATGGCCAGTCTGTTCAGGATCAACTGGTTGTTGAGCATGACTGGGTTTTAATTCCTAAGTTTGTAAAAAAAGTTGCATGTGGTTGTAAGAAAATCACATGTTCCTTTTATGCTTTGATTTTCTGTCAATAATGAGGATAAAACTTCATTAAACTATAATATTAAATATATATAATAATGATAATCCAATTTGGATCATAATACCACTTTAAAAAGTGATTTCCTTTGCTGGTCAATACAGATTCTAAACTGATTGGCTCCTATTTTGTACACACATGGCATCTGATAGAATGGAACCCTGTTCCGAGGTGGGGCTTCAAGGAGCTGCTTCAAACAATGCTAATTACACCTCCCACAAAGTAATCAAGTGCCATTGGCATGTCTCCATTATGGTGACACATTTGTTACTTTCTTTAGGAATGTGTTTGTTCTCCTGTCCTGTAATCATCATCCTTGGGGATTCCAAGGGGTAAAAGTTATCAGGCAGAGACTTCTGTGCAGAAGGAGCAGGAGGAAAATTTGTTATGGCAATATAGCTCTAGTACTTTGGACTAAATGTGGCTTTTTCTGATCTTTAAAGCCATTAAACTTTCCACTGGAAGTTCCTTTCATGGAGCTGTTTACATTGTCTCGTCAAATAAAGTGGTTCAACATAAAGAAAACTATCATAAATAGCGCTCCATGTCAAATTTCAATCTGTGTCACCAGAGGTTTGACAGTTTTCATTATTCTGGAATTCCCCCAAAACATTAGGATGTTATTTTTTCTCCAGTAACCTTCTAATAGCCACTCTGCATATGGGAATGAATGCAAAAAGATGTAGCTCAAAAAGTACTAATTCATGAAGTTTTAATGGAGACAAGGTAAACTAAGAAGTTCAAGGAAAAGATTTCCTGGAATTCTTATGGAAGTAATATTTATTTATTATTCTGCAGTAAATGAAACACTGAAAGAATAGTTTCTGTCAAATCATGCAATTTCATTGAAATTGTTGTTCATAAGCATTTTGAATTTGGGACAGTTTTCAAAGCAACCCTTTCAGACCTATTCAAAATAGAAAAATATTAATTTGTTTCATAATTTGGGGTTTAATATTTTCATTATTTTGCTTCTTTAATGTTCTTAATGCTTTTGAACTTCCATACTCCAGTAGAAATGTGGACTCTCAGTTATCTTAAATGTACTAACTTATATATTTTACTGCAAGTTTTTAGTAAAAATAAAAATACCAAGTAAAGGCTGAAGAAATTCCTCCCAGCTCCCTATTTTATCACAGAGCAATCTGCCCCTCAAAGCTCTCTGCAGCCTGGCAAACAGTATAAAGAGGTGGTTTACAGCTGTATTATATGTCCTGTGCATAATAAACTGTCCACTGCGTGGTCAGTTTGGCAGGAGAAGGATCTCATCAGCTCCAACCTCCCTTCTCAGTTAAAATTTAGAAATAAGTAGGTAAAACCAGCTGTAGTTCTGAGGCTTTGCAGTTCTTTTTAGTCACAGTGCAGAATGCAGCTCTGATTCACACCACCACCAAGGAATAGGTTTCATCCACTCAAGTGGGCAACTGTACAGCTGGCACAATAGTGTTTGATAAATAGAGCACAAGCCTAAAATTTCACTTTCTGTCTCCCACCCAGCTCCAGGAACCATTGCTCGCTGTCCCAACACGCTGAGAAACTTGCAGTCTTTAGACATAAGAACTATAATATATCAGGAAATACAGGAGGTTACTCACTTGCCAAGCAAAGGACTGCCAGAGCAAGGAGCACAAAGACTCCTGTTGTCTTCATGGCAAACAGGGGTTCTTGATCTGTTCCACAGCCGGTCTGCCCTTCAAGTATTCCAGCACGTTTAGCTCCAGTGTGTGTCCATGTGTCTGTGGGAGCAGATATTTATATACACATGCACAAGGAGCAGGAATCCTGGTGATGAAATCCTCTCACACAGAACATAATTAGAAGAAGGTGTTGCCCTTGTAGTGTCAATAGAATGTCTTCTGTATAAGGTGAAGGTCATGAGTGTCCTAGCATGGATTGTGTTGATAGAGCAGATGTATTGTTCCTTGGCTAAGCCCCTTGCCTAATTAACTGTTCCATCTCTATCAGCAAGTCCAATGAGTGACTCAGTAAGGTGGTTACTTGTTGCTGGTCTGTTATTGCTTGTTGACTCTTAAAGATGAACATAATTCCCAGGGGAAAAATAATTCTTACTGGGTGTGTTCTAAAAGATTCATCCCAGTGGAGCTGAAGTCCTTAATTCCTGTTGTCTTGGTGTTTTGGAGCTGCCTGTAACCTCTGTTTAAGGGCAATGCTGATTACTATGGCTGTGCACTGAGCCCCTCTAGGCTGCTCTGGAAAAGAATGTTTCATTTGAACACCCTAAACTTCACAAAAAGCCCAGAGAATCCTTCAGTGTTCCAGTGTTCTCCTTCCTTTAAAATTCTGCCACTTTAGAGATGAGAACCAACGCTCTGTGAGAGAAAGAGCAAAGATACCACATGGCACTGCCTGGCAAAGAGCAGGGATGAGTTCAGAGCCACTGGGCATCCTGCTGAGTTACTGCCTGGTCTGCTGTCACAGAGGAGATTCCTCTGCCTGCCCCTCTTCTCCTATTTTCCTATTTCCAGCACAGTAGGAGGGGTTGTTTAAAAAAATCCAACATAACATTGTATTAGTGACATAATCAATAGACATCATTTTCTGTCTTTTATAATACAGCTCAGGTCAGGGGGAGAATCAGATCTGGGGCTTAATTTTCATAAAGTTCAAAGTAATGTGGAGTTTTGAGCCAATAGTTTGATTTGAACCCATTCCTCCAAAATCGTCTTGTCAGTGTAGTTGTGCAAATTGTCTCAATAGGAAAGATCCCTGCACACTACTCCAATTCACAGTATTTCAGTGATCACCTTCCCTCACTGCAAGGAATTGGGGCCATATGTGCTAATTCCAGGAAGACAGATAGGACTGAAAGTTCTTACAGAAAAGGTTGTAATAGGTCAAGTAGACCTTGGGCCCCACTAATTTATCCCAAGAAGGATAAATATCATCTTGTCTTTAAGGATTATAGGTAATTATTAAATGGTTAATTTCTCATCACTTCATGGGATGAAAAATATAAATGCCATCAAATTCAAGTTCCAGGATAGGTAAAGATCTGGTTTGAGCTGGAGCCCTGTAATTCGATGATTTAATATTTAATTTTCCTTTGTTCTTAACTTGGACACCTGTGCACGTTCCTTTGAAGTTGAGATCACAAGAGACAGGCTGTCTGGGACAGGCTGACTGGGATCAGTCTGGATTCTGCTTTGGGATGTCAGTGAAGTTTTTGTACTGTAGAGTCCAAAACCTTTCTGAAGAGCCTGGCAAAGAGCATGTACAAACTCGTGGAGAGTATTCAGGACGTGTTCATTGGTTGATGGACAATTACCAGCATTAGGCAACAAAAGCAAAACTCAAAGCAAGCCGGAAGTTACTCCTAATCTGAATAGTTTTGAGCAAACAAGACTCTTGAGGAAATCTTGAAACCGTGAAACTGCAGCTTGACAGAACACACCGGTTCCTTGACACCGGAATGAGGAAATCTGCCACTCTGGTTATGCTCTCTTGTTCTAATACAGTGCTCCACAGTGTCCTGTCTGATGCAACCTCAATATCCATCCCATCCCGCCAGCAGAAGAGTATAAACATCTGCTTCAGGTCTGCTAAGTTGATGTAGGAATCTTTTCTGAGGCTAGTGCAGGAAGAGATGACTTTTGGAGGTGGGAGGGGACAAAAAGGGAGGCAGATTTCAAATGAGATTTTTCTTAGCATTTGAAAGTTACCTTTCTATTGGAAGGATTTCTAATGCTTATTCTGTGCTCCATATCAGGAGAGCCATGGGGTGAATGTTTTTTTCTGGTAATGTTTAGGTGTATTGTTAGAGCTTTTGAATCAAATAAAGATTCGTTTCCTGAACAGTGGACCTTAAGCTTTGTAGGGCTTGCCTAGACCACTCAGATAGGAGGGACATAGTTGTGATGAGAGGCTGTGATATATTGTAGGGTGTGCAAACAGCAGCTCACTCACAGCAGGGGCTCAGCTGAAATTCTGGAGATTTTTGTGTTTTGGAATATCAAAGCTATCTTAGAGCTTTGAGAAGAAAAATGCCCTACTCAGAGAGCAACAGTCTGTTCCACTTTCTGCAGTGAGGTGTTACTCACATGCAGAATCTCAAACTGAAACTTGGTAAAGAGTAATGGCACAGAACACTTACTGCAACTCCAGTTTAAAAGGAGACCAAAGTCTCTGGATCTCTATTCCTCGCTTTGAGAATGGGCAGAATTCACACCAGCCAGCTAGAGAAAATAGTCACTATTTGACTGAAAAAATGCTTTATCTGAGGCATCTTTCTTGTCCAAACTTGTTGTTTGCCCTGGTAGCTCTTTACATGGAGCTGGTCTGACAACCTGAAGCCTGTCATCCTCAGGCAGACTGAAGGTTCACTTAGAGTGCTGTGCTCAAGAACTTCCACTGGCATACTGGGAAGAGACCAGTTTTCATGGTGTGCAAGTTGGACATGAGTCAACGGTTTGCCCCTGTACTGAGCAAGTCCAGCTCTGCATGCTGGGCTGTATTAGTAAGAGTGTAATTATCAAGTTCAGCACTGATGAGGCTGTATCTGGCATTGTGGGTACAGTTTTGGGCTCCCTGGCAAAAAAAGGCACTGAAGTCCTGGATCAGAACCAGTGGAGGACCAACAAGGTGTTTAGAGGGATCATGCTAGAAAAACTTGAGGGAAGTGGTTTGACCAGGTTGGAGAAAGACAGCAAAGTCTCATTGTTTTCAGCTGCTCTTTCAGGATGTGCAGAGAAGACAGGAGCCAGAGTCTTCTTGGAGGTGCACAGTGAAAGGAAGAGAGAGAACAGTGCAAATTGCAGCAAGAGAAATTCTAATTAGGTATGAGGAAAACAAATTTCACAATGAGAGTAGTCAAGAATAGGAACAGGTTATCCAAAAATCACTGGAGATACTAAAAAATGGATCTGTTCTGAACTGGCCATAATCTAGTGATGGGTGTGGGGTGTGGGGAACCAGGTGACCTCCAATGGTCCATTCCAAGGGAACTGATGCTGTGATTCCCACAGGAGAATGTCAAGTGTTGCTGACAGGCAGCCGCTCAGGGACTTTGTGGCATATTTGTCCTTATGAGTTAACATTTGACAAAGCAGACACGGACAGTAGATTAGCACAATGGATTGATTTTATCTACTTGGAAAACATGTTGTTTGTTGGAAAACAAGTGTTCAGATCTGTTTAGGAATAGCTGCTTCCCCAAGCTGTGTCAGTAAGGCCTCTTCATCACACCTAAAACTAATTTAGAAATTTATAGGAAACACTCTGTATCGAAGAATCTTGAGTGAAATTTTGACCTAGTCAGCAAACTCATGAATACGTGTAGGTTAATTGTGGGCCTCTCATAGTTTTCTACCTTTATCTTTTTCTACCTTTATCTTCATATCTTGTCTTTTTATCTCTTCAACTTGATCTTTTGAAGAAGAAAAAGTAATTACATGGTGTTACATCTGGTAAAATATTAGTGCATATTTTTCCGAGAGTAAGACAATTCTTCACAATTATTCATATGTTGCTTTTAGATTTGGAGTGCTGAGTGGAGCACGAATGGGATGCCAAATATGCTGCTGCAGCACGTCATTAGTTAAGTGCCTGCTTTATTCTGCATGGGAGGGTGTTCTGTGGCTGCATTCCAGAACAGTAACCTGTTCCCATTCATCTGATGGAGTGCCTCCCATTTGAGGACATCAACAGTGGTGAAAAAATGGCACGTGGAATAGCTAATAAAAATATTCTCACGCACACCACATAAACCCTTGAAGAATGTACAAGCCAAGATAGACCCTGCCATGGTCACCCGCGTCGGTGATTCCAGCGCGTGTTTACTCGGGACGCGGCTCGCGGGCTCCCTCAGTCCTGCTCTGGGTGGGTGGTTTGGGTTGTCCGCCCATGTGCAATTAACATATCAGACTTTTGAAGTCTTGCTCAATGGAAGGTTTGAGAATCAAGTGATGTGTTTGTTAAGGCATCAAACTGGGCCAAAACAGTATTTGCCTGAAGGAAGGTGAGTTTCCCATTTTCCACACCTTAAGAGAGATCAAAGGAGCCTTTCTTTAACACTGCAGGTGTCAAGGCAGGACAGATCCCTGCTGAAGGTTTCAGGTGTTATTTCAGAAAGTAAAAAATAAACCCAACACCTCTCTGCAAAGGCTGGTGCTGAGCTTTACATTTTTCTTTGTATCTTCTGATATCTTTAAGATACAATACAAGGCTGTGATCCTGTTATCCTGCAGGGAACTTGTGGATCCTTCTAGTTACTTAGTGCCATACCATTGATGGTTCTGAATGGATTCTTCACAGGTAAAACAAAACAAGCATTAACAGCTTAACACTTACACTGAGTTATTGAATAGGACTATGAGTCCTATTGAATAGGACTTATTTTAAATTGCCTTAAGATGCAATTCCCAGGTGTTCAGTGCTTTGAAGTTTGGTCACACTGAACTCAGTCATACTGACATGTTTGAAGCAAGGTTTCTTTTAAGGTTTTTTCATGTCTCAGAACAAGGTTGGAGGATATACATTGGGTTTGCCTGTATTAAAAATACCATTACTTTTATAAAAGAGAATATACAACTTACCAAGAAAAGGGATAGGATGAAGGTCAGCATGGAAGAAGGGATGGATACGAAGCATTTGGACCTGAAATCTGTATTCTCCCACGGAACCCTTAATTAGACATAAGCCTTTTTTCCCCCTTTTGCTACTAGCAAGTGCCTACTTGCCCAGCTGAAGCACTTAGAGGATAGCAAGTTCCTACTGTAACCAATTAGTGCCTCATTAAGGACACCAACTATTTGTCAAGCATTCCT